GCTTAAGAATGTTTATAAACATGCACAGATTTACTTCCTAGTATTGGCTTTAAGATCATTTATAAACATGTACAGTTATATTTCTTAGTACTAGATTAATCCTTTCGCTACTGCCTTGGTGGATTACACCAACCACGTGACCTCAAAGTGGCCATTGTAGTTTCCATACTATAACTTTTAACTTGTTTTGTGTATCTTCACGATATTTTTCAAAAGCTTTTGATAAATATTACAAGTCTTTCATAGACAAAAATCATAATTTTTCATTAAGTATTTTTACTAAAAATTTGTTTTTGTGAATATATGAAGTCAGATTTTTGACTGCTTTGACCTCATAAATAAATATCACACGTTTTCTTCATTAAAACTATATATTTTATCTGTTATTTTCTGTGAATTTTATTATGAATTTCAGGGCCTTCTCTTTGGATTGTCTTCCTGGTTTTGGCTTTGTTAGCCTGCTTAGCTGAAGAAGCATGCTTTAATTTGGGTATTTTCAAAGTTTAGATGTGCTGCAGGTAAAACATGCTGGTTTTTACAGAGTTGTAGGTGTTATGACCGTGGAAGTCACGTGACGCTGGTGGCGTGTGTGATGAGTTTCTCGAATGATCAGGGAGGTCCAAGTGTGTTCGAGATGCCCTCTTCATTAGTATATAAGCCTGGCAGAGAAAGCCAGTGGAGATAAATGAAGAGAGAGCAGTAGTTACTTTGAGTTCTGTGTAATTTATGATTCTGTCAGTTTCGAGCTAGTGAGCTGTAAAGTGTGTGTTTTGCACTCATTGAGAGTGAAGTTATCGAGTGACAGTACTTTCTGTCACGACAAGGAAGTTTGTCCTTTTAAAATTCTTCCAGTCATATTTTATATATATATATATAAAACAGACGATGCACTACTTGGGGCATATAATTAGATTTGAGGTTAGGTTGGTAGAGATTGTGATTAGTAATAATTTAAAATAAAGTATATGTGCTCCCCACACTTAGTATTTCTGGTGTACAAAAATCATAATTATTGGCTGAAATTCCCAATTATGTTTGCTTAGTTGTCAAGGAGACACATTAACACAATATCACCAAATTTTGTCCGATCAGAACCCTTGGCTATGTTACGTATCTGCTTGTTTGTTTGTTTCCGGAAGAAATTCTTTCCGAAGATCTTCAGTGATACGAGTCCTTTCTTGATTAAACAAGTTTATTTTTCCTGAATACAAATTTTTAGTACACAGTAGTTCCACAATCAGTACGTTTCTCGTCACTTTGAACTTAACAACTTTTATAATACACGCTATAAATCACAGCGATTCACAATAAATTTGTTTTCTAAGGAGAGTGGATAAGCTAGAAGATTGGAATGCTGCATTAATAAGCTCAAATATGTGTAACAGGAATGAGATACTACATTAGCCTGTTCAAGTAGGTTTAACAGGAATGAGATTCAGTGTGAGAACAATCAATTAGGTTTAGCAGAAGTGAGATGTTGCATTAGTAAGGTCAAGTAAGTTAAATAGGAATGAGATGTTGCATTAGTTCAAGTAGGTTTAACAGGAATGAGAGGCTGTGTTAATGAGCTACTATATAAAGATGAAAAGCTATCCGTTTGTCATACCGATATCTTGGTCATTTTGGTACCAATCAGCACACAACTTTCATGAAATATTAACAGAGTTTTATTGTAAACTTTATCCAAAATAGTTATTTTTGCATTGTTGAATGAATGTTTATTAATATGATCTATTTCAATAGAATAAGGATATTCTTATTACTATGAGATCTATGTAGGTTAATCCTTAGATGTAAAGGATTAGTTGTTTGCCCTACATATTTAAGACCACATATACCATAAGTTAGTAAATAAATTACATTACACATTCTCATAGTGTTCAAAGTCAACAAAAAATACAAGGACAAAGAAATGAAAGATTTAGACAAAGAAATTTCAATAGGTTGGAAGATTTCACACATGGAGAAAGAAGAGAGAGATTATACAAATGACCTGTGAATTTTAGAAAATATGACAGAGTTCTAAAAACTTTTAGATAAACGGGATCAAAATGTTTTTAAAACAAATAGAAACTAATTTCCAAGAAAATGAAAAATTATTAATAATTACTTTCACAAATAAACCTAATAAAAAACTTTGTTAATGAATTTAAGGTGATATTAACAAAAAAAAAAGATCTTATTTTAAGTAATTCCGAAATTTGGTATTTTTAAGTACTTTATAAAATTCATAAATCAAAAGAGATTAATGAATTATTGTTGTAAACAAAAAGTGAATTTATTCATATTGGAAAATCTCCCAATATTCTAGAAAGATTGATTGTGGGAGGTAATCAAAAAATTACGGAACATTTAAGTGACCTTTTAGACAGAAGAAATTGATAAAAGAAAAAAAAAACCTGATATTCTAGTGTTTTCTTTTATAAATTTATATATATATCTTCCTTTTTCTTTTCTTTTTAAGACATTGCAACAGTTAATTTTTTTTTGTTAATATACTTAAAGGTTATTTATCCAAGTTATCACAGAAATATTCTAAATTCACAAATTGTAATTTATCACCAAAGAGGAGTCATCAAACTGGTCATCATCATGAAGAACAGATTTCCTTTAAGCAAGGTCATGACAGTGCTATTGGTACTGTGGCCTGGATGATCATCTTTGGTGATGGACTTCACAACTTTATAGATGGCTTGTCTGTTGGAGCAGCTTTTTCAGAGAGTATACTAGCTGGAATTAGTATATCTGTGGCAGTTGTTTGTGAAGAGTTTCCTCATGAACTTGGTATGTGTAGACTAAAAGTGTACTATGTTAATGTGAATGTATTATTTCATATCTTTATACTGCAAAATTCCTTATTATGCTGAAGAAGTTGTCTGAAATGTAACAGTTAATTTATGAGAAAATTTGAATTTTTGGTGTTTTCTAAGTTTGCAACAACAAGTACCAGAATGTCATTTGGAAGTATCCAGCAGAGAAAAAAAAAAGATTGTTTTTGTGTAATAGTATCTGCTATGGATGTTTTTTCACATGCTTTCTGTAGTTTTGAAAATGCCGTTTTTTAAACTAGTGGCTTAAATAATGAGTTCTATGTGAAAAATATCAACATTGTAAAGGCTATCAGTATGTTTAGTTTGGAATTTCTTTTCATCGAAAAAGAAGAATATTTTATTTTAAAAGAAAAAACTATCCATAT